TTAGGGTTTAGGGTTTTAGGATAGTATAAGTATAAAGCGATACTACCCGGGCTTCGATGGGGGCGGAAGTGCTTTACAGTTTACGCTACTTTTACCTACACTTGTCTCGTGCTGTGCAGATCGCTTCGACGAGAAATTCAGCCCCACAGATTGCAACTAGTTGCGACCTGTGCTTGCTCAACCAATTCAGGCTCGCTCGCATGTGATAGTGGCAGTGACTACCTGGCCTGAACGGCATTTTGACTATTTGGGGATCACCGCCGTAATTACATGGGGGTTTCCGAGAATAGGGGACCCTAATATAGGACCCTGAATAGTAGGATCCTTATTATAAGGACCCCAAAATAAGGTACCCCCCGTATGTTCGGAAAGTCCCATTTGGGGCTCACCGCTGTAATTACATCTTGGAAACTTAGTAATCCTAGGCCCCGATATATCTTGAAGCCTGAACCGTAGCAAAGATGAAAACTAAACACAAGCTGCAATTGAACCTTTGTCCCTGAATCCTTGTAGGGACGCTTACGAGAATCCTGACAAGGAACTTTTGCACAAACCTCTGTAGAATCCCTGATCGGACGCCTTAACAAGAACCCTTAGAAGGAACTCTAAGCCCTAAAGCTTAAACCCCTAAATCCTAAACCACCGTATCGGAACCCTGCGCTTCGTAGAAAGAGCATAAGCAACCTTCACCCTCTCTGCCGCATTTACACTCCAGTCGAAGACCCCAAAGCCCAAAACATCCTATGTACTGCAACGGGGGAGATACTTTTTTTTAAAATCACAATAATGATTCCTAAGGTACAAACCCTACATTCTACTATATAGGTACTTGGGACACTTTAGGTTCGTAATGGTTCCCCCGCCTGCGAAGCTGGACAAATCAGTTGAGCTCCGTCACAGTAGTGAGTTCTTTAAACCCCGAAAAGACTTTTCATAACACCTTCATCAACAAAGTCCGCCCTAAACGCTAAACCTTAAGCCCTAAACCCTAAACCTTAAACCCTAAACGCTAAACCCTAAACCCTAAACCTGCAACAAAGCCCGGCAGTCCGACGACAGGACTCCTTGGCACCCTCCTCTGTGCTTTGCGGCGGGCTCTTTGCAGTGGCCGGGATGCCCCGGATGATTTTCGCATTTCGGATGTTATGGCTGATTTCTGGAGTTTTTGTGGGTTTTGTACGGGCCATATAAGGTTTGGATACAGGATGCTAAAACGGATTTCTAGGGTTCACATTGGTTGTACAGGGATTTATGCGGGTCTTATGGTTTACAAGGGTTCACAGGGCGGTTTACATGGGTCCTATATGTAGGGTTATGCAAAAGTGCGTGTGTGTTTGCGCAAGATGTATGTGTGTGTGTATTTGTATATACAGGTACATATATACATATACATATTCATACACATATACATATACATATGCATGTGTATATACATATTTATCCCCCTGTCTCTCTCTCTCTCTCTGCATGAACCGCGGTTTTTAGGGGTTATGGTTCGGGGAGGGAGTTCAGTTTTCAGTTTGAGGGTTCCGGGGTTTGGGTTTTAGCGGCTTTGGCGTTTTTCGGCTTGGAGCCTGCATAGGGCCGGACAGTTTCGGGTTTTCAGATTTTCGGGACAGGGTTGAAGAGTTGAGGGTTTGGGCTTGACAAAGTTTAGCCTGCCTGTGCTTTGGTGGTTGCGTCCCGAAAAAGCAGCCATACATCAAAGAAATTCAGGAATCATGCAGACCCCTGATTGACAAAGTCAACATAGAGGAATATTGGCCTCCCTGGATCAGAATCCGAGGCTCCTGATTAGCGGTTTAGGTACCTTGAGACGTTCTGGATGCTGAAGTTGGCCAAAGGGAACCCTAAGGCTCTAAGGACTCATATTTAAAGGCTTTTGGGCCCAAAGACCATACTATATAAGGCTTTTGGGCTATTTTGAACCTTAGGGGAAGATCGCCACGTCCAGTTTCAGCTTGGCCGGTCAGGGCGGGCACACTTCGGATTGCCACACAGGCGGCTGCGCAAGAGGGCACTGTGCCGGAGCTGGACATGGAGAAAATGTTTCCCAGAAGAACCCAGGTTTCTTTCGACACAAATGGTGGGCGCAGCACAGGAATAGACTCCACAGCTGGGCTGTTACAGACTCGGGGCTTTGCCATGGACGACATCATGGACATTTGTCTCCCCGAAGATGACAGCCTGGGCGCTCCGGGCAAGGCAAGCCATGTCAAAGAGGAGATGGGTAGTTCTCTATTATTAGGGTCCATCTTGGGGTCCCCGAAATAGGACCGGCACCCTTATGACAAGGACCCCAAAAGGGACCCTAGAGAACTACCCAGATGAAGGATCCCTTCCAAGGTCTGGGACCCGGCCACGGAGAGGGAGTCCAGCCTGCTCAATGCAGTTAGTTGCATGATTCTGAAAATGAAGGGTACCTTACTTTGGGGGACCTTATAAGGATCCTACAATTTAGGGCACAATTTTAGGGTCCCATATTTTCCCAAACTGCCAAACTGCCAATGCCCACCGTCGACCTGCAGCCAGGGAGCCTAAGGTGCTGCTGCAACGGAAAATGTATGCGTTGTATGTGGGCTGGCAGCGCCGCCCCGGCCTCGTCCCGACCCCTCCAGCTACCTACGAAAAAGGGCCCTGCGGGCTCTAGTACCCTCTATAGTAGGCACCTGGAGGGTCAGGGCAAAGATGGGCCTGCCGCCGAACCTTCGAACTGACAAAAGCCTTGGCCCTGAGCCCCCTAACAAGTGCCGCACATCTGAGGAGCAGGATACAAGGGGGGTCGGATTAGATAGTCATTGGGTCATCTTACAAACCCTGACTCTTCTTGCCAGAACAAGTGAGCCTGCAACAATAACCCGCAGTGTTATTCCAATGATTCAGGCGTCTGTGTTACTGTGCTGGTTGACTAACCAGAGTGAGAAGTGACGTGACCAACGTTATACTTACTTGTAGGCAAAATGCGAATCCCTTAACTAAAACACATATTTTATACAATATTTAAAACCCAGGTATCAATTTATCAGTTCCTCCGGCCCTCCATTTGAGCGTGCTTGCCTTGGGTCTGGGACACACCCAAGTTGCATCGACTGTCAGGACCGCTCCTGGTTCCTGCACCTGGGAGGACTGCATAGGGTGTAGGATTTGGGGTCAGGGTTTGGGGTTTGGGTGCGTAAGGTTTAGGGGTAAAGTATTTAGGGTTTAACTTAGGTTAGGGCTTACAGGCTTTAGGGTTATCCCGCCTTGGTAATGGAGTTGCAGCTTTGTCCGACCCATATATCAAGGCTTTATGTCGGGGTGGCTGGGCACTGCCTGCCAAAGCCTTATGTAAACCCTAAACCCCAATAAGGTTCCGGACAAGAAGCACTGGACCTATAATCAGCCCGATGTGTTGGGATTATGTGAAGGAGTATTCAGCAGTACGCAACATTGGGCTCCGAGCGTCTGTACACCACATAGACGAAGGACCCACTTGGATAAGAAATTGTTTCATACTGTAAAGTAAGAGCCTAACCTTTGCTGTCCCTCTCCGGAAGGATACGACCCTGAGTTGCGCATCTATGGTGGCGAGGAGCCGGTGCAGGGCAGTAACTGCTACCCGTAGATGTTTGCAGCTTGTAAAGCAGCAAAGCTCGCAGAATAGTACAAGCGCCGATTGCACCATGTACTTACAAATCGCGCCGCTTTATCTTGTGCAACTAACTGTAGTTGCAGTGCACTCCAGTCCGTATGTAAGCGTCTAGGGGTTCCCTTATAGGATCCTAAATGTAAAGTTGGTTTAACCAAAAAGAGGAACTACAATGGAGACTATAGGTAGATTTCCTGTCGGGTTCTTTAGAGATTGAAGTCTGGAAGTGTGCAATTCTCTGGGTTTCCCGGCTCAAACTTAGGGTTTAGGGCGGTTTAGAGTTTAGGGGTTTCGGGTTTGGGGTTTAGGGTTTAGGGTTTACATCGACTGTCCCTTTCGAGCAACACTGTTGCCCGAAACCCCTAGCGTAAGCCCCAGCACACGATTCAGCTCTTGTTGCTGCGATTGATAAAGGCACGAACCGAAACATAGACTTATGCTTCCGGAGCATTTCCACAGCGGGGGCCGTCCAGCAAGAATCTGGCAACCGGGTCGGAGAAGCAAAAACACAAGTTTCCGGTTCTTGGTGAGAGGACTTACTCTCAGGCAATAGGACCCTGACGAGAAGAACCACTCAAGCGGGTGGGCTCATGAGTCAGCGGTCTACACTTACACTAGTGACGTGTAGTAAGGTTCAGGGAACGTGGTTTGACATGACAGCGGAGCCCAAAGAGGCAGTCCACGCAAGAACGCTCAGCCCGAACCACCCGCGAAGTCTAAGCCGGACATATCCCTGAGTCACGATGGAGGTGAACCATACATCCTGAACCCATGAATCCAGACATTCGAGAGAGCAAGGCCCCGAAATGAATTTAGAAGCATCGTCCCTACACCCTGAATCCTGAACCCCGAATCCCTGCACCTTAAGTCCTAAATCGGTCCTAAACCCTAAATCCTAACTTCTCAACCCTAAACCCTGGTGAACCTGAAATCTGAAGTCCCTAAAGAAGAGCCCCGAAACAGGAGATGGAGCTGGGCTTCAGCGCTTGGCAATGTGGTGGCTCGGTGGTTCACGAGCCGTGCCGAGCTCGGTCGAGAGTCCTGGGGCTCCATTTAGGGACCCAAAAAGCACATAAGCATAAGCTTTTTTATAGGGATATCCCTACCTTATTGGGCTTCATTATAAGGGGATTTATATGGGATATCCGGATCCCAATTTTTGCTTATGTGCTTTTTTGGGGCCCTATTTAGGGTTGAGAGCCAACCCTAAACCCTAAACCTATAAAGTTTAATCCCTAAACCCCCAAACCTATAAAGTTAAATCCCTAAAGCCCCAAACCTATAAAGTTTAATGTTTGGGGGTTTAGGGTTTGGGGGTTCAGGGTTTACGGTATGATGGGTGTCTTGAAGGGCTCAAGAAGGGGCCTTGATGTAGGGGTATATAGGGTTGAAGACCTTTAAAGATGCTGTGAGGGGATGTATGGGGTGTTGCCGAGTTTCATGCGGGTTTTGAGGGTCCAACGAAACGGAAGATGTGCGCCTTGCGTGGCTTGGGGTTTAAGGTGTTTGGGGTTTTGGTGTTAGGTTCGGGGTTTAAGTGTCCCATACCATACCTGGCCCCTACACCCTAAACCGATGCGATGATCTAAGTGTAGGGCTGACTCTTGGAGTGACATACTTGGGTAGTTCTCTAAATTAGAGTGCCTTTTAGGTCCCAAAAGAGTACGGCAGCCTTACAAAACGGACCCCAGAAGGAAACGTAACTTATATGAACCTATCCCCATTTACTACCGAAGTGCGGTGTAAGGTGCACTAAACGGTCTAGGCCATTCTAGGGCTCAGAGGGTCGTTTAGGGTGTGCTACAGAAGCTTGAATAGTAGATTCCATAGGCTTCCTTATTGGGTTCAGGGCTTAGGGTTTATGAATGTCGCAGAAAACCCTAAACCCTAAACCCTAAACCCTAAACCTAAACCCTAAACCCTAAGCCCTAAACCCTAAACCCTAAACCTAAACCCTAAACCCTAAACCCTAAAGTACCCCACACTCCCACGCCCCTATTCTAATTCTTCAGGCCCCTGTCTTAGGTGCGGACCGTGAGCCCTCAAAGTGGGCCTCTGGGTCAGCCCACGGTTAAGGGTTAAGGGTTTAGGGTTTAGGGTTTAGGGTTTAGGGTTTTAGGGTTAAGGGTTTAGGGTTTTTACTGGAATAACTTCACAGGGGCAGGAAAACGCGCATGGACTCCTTTTCAATTTCTTGTGAGCCCAGCAGCTCAAGCACCCAAATCGGTAAACACTAAGTAGCCTCAACACCTCTTTCATCCTAAGCCCCGATTGCCTGAACTAAACCCAAACCTCAATCCCCAGCCCTGTCCTGCAGGCCCTAAACAATCTCAGCTGGAAGCCCTATGTAAGCGAATCCCAAGCCCTCCACCCCATGCCCCCAAACCGAAAGGCCTGAACCCTGATAACTAACTAAACCCTAAGCCCCAAGCCGTCGGGCTGAGCGGATGACGGTTTCCAGCGTGTCGCCAAATCTCCGAAGCTACAGTCAGGCTCGTTGCCGCAGGGTAGGGTGTGGGGTTTAGGGTTTGGGTTTTGGTTTTCGGGTTTAACCCTAAACCCTAAACCCTAAACCCTGAACCCTAAACCCTAAACCCTAGACCCTATTGGGTTTAGGGGTTTTCGGGTTTGGGGCTTTAGGGCTTTAGGGTTTCGGGTCTAGGGTTTCAGGTTCAGGGCTTGGGCCGGGCTCAGGGCTTTGGAACGTTCATGCTTCCGGTTACCAGGTTTGGGTTTAGGGTTTAGGGGTTTAGGGTTTGGGGTTTAGGGATTTAGGGTTTAGGGTTTAGATGGGTTTAGGGGTTTAGGGTTTAGGGTTTGGGGTTTAAGTTTTCAGTGAGATTGGGAGATTGCTTATTTATGAGTTTCATTCTAGAATGCTTAGTTTAGCGAATTCGGCTTGAGGTTGACATGAAGATTCCACAGTTTACGATGTTTAGGGCTTTGGCCTTCGTGGTCCCCCAGTAGTACCATCTGCTCTTTGTTTTGGTGCGTTTCCCTCTTGGAACTGACTGGTGGGAGCAAATACCAATTTGTAAGGCGAGACTGGGGAAAGCAAGACATTTTTGTCCGGAGCACAAACTTGGAGATTGTTCTTCTCGCTCGCATCTTTGGTGCTCTGGCCATACCTCGAATTTCCTGCGTTTCAGCACATCGGAGGCGAGTACTAATCATAAGGTGGTAGCGAGAACACAAGCCAGGTTTCGTAGCTTCATCTACAAGCGCGTGCTGATACTCGTTATGTTCACCAGCAACTAGGAACACCCAAACCCTAAACCCTAAACCCTTTCTACGCTAAACCCTAAACCCTAGAACACTATATACCCTAAACCCTTTAGACCCTAAAACCCTAAACCCTTTCTACCCTAAACCCTTTATACCCTAAACCCTTTATACCCTAAACCCTAAACCCTATATACCCTAAACCCTTTATACCCTAAACCCCCCTATGTACCCTAAACCCTTTATACCCTAAACCCTAAACCCTAAATACCCTAAACCCTATATACCCCAAACCCTAAACCCTAAACCCTATATACCCTAAACCCTATATACCCCAAACCCCTTCTACCCTAGACCCTAAACCCTGAAAAACTAACCTCTCCAGGCCATTCAGCAGCGCGGGAAGACCCAAGAATGGGCGGAGGGTCTCCGCCTGCTGCTGGAGTTGGGCGGGGAGTCTCTGGAGGTCGGCTGAAGGGGCTTTAGGGTTTAGGGCTGAGGGTTTAGAGTTTAGGGGCTTTAGGGTTTAGGATTCTGGGGTTTAGGGCTGAGAGTTTACAGTTTAGGGGCTTTAGAGTTTAGGGGCTTTAGGGTTTCGGGCTGAGGGTTTAGAGTTTAGGGGCTTTGGGGTTTAGGGCTTGGGGGCTTTAGGGTTTGGGGTGGAGTGTTTAGAGTCAGAGTTTGTGGACTTTAGGGCGAAGGGCTTAGGGACTTTAGTGTTTAGGATTGACAGTTCAGAATTTGTGAACTTTAGGGTTAAGCGATTACGGACTTTAGGGTTTATGGTTGAGCGTTCAGAGTTCGTGGACTTCAGGGGTAAGGGTTAAGGGTTGAGGGTTTATGCACTTGAGGGTTTTTGTTTGAGGGTTAAGAGCTCAGGCTTGCTATAGGGTTCAGGCTGGCTGAGGGATCCGTATGTTCGGTTCAGGGAGGAGGCTGAGGGCATATAGGAGTTCAGGGCTTATCCCGAAGCCTTGACAGTAAGCCTTTGAACTCCTAGTCCTAACCCGCAAACCGCCGATTTAGGGAGGTACAAAAGGGGCCTTAATAACCTTTTGTCTCTCTCTCTCTCTCTCTTTATATATCTATCTATCTATCTATCTATCTATCTATCTATCTATCTACTTATCTACCTATCTACATATCTATCTATCTATCTATCTATCTATCTATCTATCTATCTATATACATATATATATATATGCACTATTTTGGTGGTTCCTTATCATAACTATAGTAGACCCAATTCTAAATATTAAGGCCCCTACATCAGGGAAGGATCTGGAGGTTCTGGGCTTGGGGTTTTGGGTAGTCGGCTCAATGATGGGAAACCTGAGGTTCGGTTGGGTAAGGAGCTTTGGGCGCGGGGTTTAGGGTTTAGGGTCAATGGGTTTGGGGTTTAGGGTCTAGGGTTTAGAGTTCAGGGGTTTAAGGTTTATTAAGGCTTGCAACTGAAGGTGTCTAGGGTTCTTGAAATGGGGGTTTGGTGGCTTGGGGTTCAGCATGGAGGAGTGCAGGGTAACAAGGTTTAGGCTTGGAAGCGCATCAGCGAGCATTCACTGTTTCTTGGCTTGCGCTACCTCCTAATTAGCTAAACACCGAGCCCTCCATCCTAAGTCCCAAATAGCCCAAGGGCTTGCCCCAAAACCCTAAACCCTAAACCGTCTTTCGAGGAAGGCTTGCAGTAATCTGGATTCTCCCTGGTATTGGTCAGCACATAC